CGCACTGATCGGCATGCATGCCTTTACCGGGTGCGATACGGTCAGTGCGTTCCACGGAAAGGGCAAGACCAGCGCTTATCAGCTCCTGACCAGTGATGGAAGCAAGGGAGACCTGGCACGAAGTTCAATGGCCGAACTTGGCAAAGCCTTCAACCCGCTGTCAGCAGGCGCCATGGCAGAAATCGAGCGGTTTGTCTGCATGCTGTATGGCCGGTCAAACCAGTCAAGCGTTAACAGCTTACGGTACGAGTTGTTTTGCTTGCTGGATAACGCCAAGGATTCGAGCAGACTGCCCCCATGCCACGATGCTCTGCGTAAACAAGCAGCAAGGGCCAACTTCCAGGCGGCTGTTTGGTGACGTGCACTACTACTACTACTAAGCCCAGCCCCCTGTCCCTGAAGCGTACGCTGGAAGCCATGGTTGGCAGCTGTCCAATGGCCAGCTGCGCATTGATTGGCTCTCGGTAGCTGCAGCACCACAAGCAATCTTGGAATTTGTGAAGTGTTCCTGCAAGACCGACTGCCAAGGGAATAGATGCTCATGCCGCAGCCAATCCCTTCCCTGCACGGATGTTTGTGGATGCAGTAGCGAGTGTAGCAACCGCGAGGAGTCAGGTCATCCCATAATTCAAGAAGATGACGACACTGTCCAGTGTGAGTAATATTATTGTCTAATCTTCATCCAGGCTGGGTACCTCTTATTTGTGTTGAACTTCCTTGGCTGCAGGCAGTCACGGGTAATATATCTGATCCACCTTGTCTTTTGTTTGTTATGTTACAGAGCCGTTGGATTACTACACATGCCTGGTCCAAGATCTCCATCACCACAGCTGTCATCGTGTTGCAGCATTGGTGTAACATTTCTATCTGTTTAACTGCCTACAGACTGTACTTGCCCTGGCAAGCTGGTAGGCCCATTCGATCATGCCACACACTCTTTCCACACTGTATGCTATTTTTCATGTTGATAACAATCACAGCATAATATCTGTAATGAGCCTAAGTGAACTGCAGTAGTCGTTGTCTTCTGTGATGTTTCCTCTGATACTGCTACTCTGGCTGGCTATGTTATGTGTAATTCGAAGTACATCAGACTCTAGGGTACAGTTTACGGATTCTGGTTGCCATGCGTTTAAGCAGCTCAATCAATGCTAATACATGACCAATCGAAACGGTCTGTCCTCTGCATTGATGAAACGGGGCGTAGTGGTGCACCCATTGCATGAAAGTCTTTCCAGATAAGTTATTTCAAGGCATGCTTCTAATCCATAATATATATAATATTCCAGGATTGATAACATCAGTCCTACCCATTATTAATGTTTCGTAAGAATCGTAACTGTTTCTGCGCTATTATTACAGTGTTGCCATGCTGTTGCTATGATGTTTGTTCTTGGTTACCATTGGTTACCATGGTAACCAAGTTCGAAAAATGCTCTGGGGTGCTTCAAATATTTTATGTAGTTGTTTGGCAGATAGAATTTTCCGGGATGAAAGTAATAGAAAATCGATTTTTGTGGTCAGTTGGCATGGTAACTAAAGGCAATTTCAATTGCATTTTTCACAACCTTTCAGAAAGTTCTGAGAATGACAACAAGTGGAAACATCATCTACGTATGCTCCTCTATCATATTAGCAAAATAATCGTGGTACACCCCAAGCGGGAACGGGAAGTCACATTTTGCCCACTTGGCTCCTGTACTACCAGGTCTGGAGCGTTTGACTCGCGTGTAGAAATGCAAAGTGCCGTGACGTATCTTGCAGGCTTCGCATCTCGGGAACGCAGCATCGTGCCGCGATCGCGCATGCTGTATTGGATTCCTTGGAGTTTTGGATTGGATTGGATTGGATTTTTATTTATAGTGGCGACTATAACAGACAATTGCCTAATAACAATAGACCCACTCGAGGGAAAGATGCAAAAAGATATGAACAATTAATATAATAGACTACCGGTATTGGATAGGTGATGATGTTCGCATTTTGCATAGCTGAAAATCATAAGTACTAGCGTGAAAAAGCAAGGCATTGGGGTAACAGTTTCTTAAAACGGGCGGAGTTATCCACACAGCGAGCTAGAGGGTGTAAATAATTCCACAGCTTAGCACATTGGAAGGAAGCGCCATGACGGGCAAAGGCAGTTCTGAGCATGGGCAACTTAAGAGTGCGTGATACAAGGCTGCGCGTTGCAAGACCATTATTTAAACGCTCGAACAATTGACTCAATGACACTACAGCGGCCTTCCAAACAGCGCTACGTCAGATACAGTAATTTCTTGCAATACATGGATGCCAAACGATCTAGACCAAGTCTCGCAAATAAAGGGCTTGATGGGCTACAAAAACCAGTTAAGTATCGTACATTGAACGCAAAGCTCGCTTTAGCATTCGTTCAAGCCTGCCTAACTCGAACAGTTGCGCAGCGCAGTGTAAAAAGGGCACCTCCGAAATCTGTTTTTTGCCGCGAGATTCGAAAAATGTTGTGTTCCATGCGGAAACAAGCTGTTGTTCAGAAAGAAGTTTTTTGATTTCTCTGTGCTCGCAGTTGTTCCAGGATGTCGCGGATTCAATCATCCCACGAATATAAAATGATGTATTAGTATGGTTGTGCATGTCATGTCAATGCACTGCTGCCTCATGAATTTCTTCGTACTCATGATGCTACTCCTGCGCTTCATACTTTGATCTGTACCTTCGTTTTTTGGCTGTATTCAAATTAGTTTTGGTGTTCTTGTTTGTAAGAAAGTTCGTATTCCAACCAACTCACCCCTCTAGCTTTTGTAGCAATCAGACGTTTGGGGACAAGGCCTCAAACGTTTTGACATGGTGCTGTGACCAGGATAGTCACGATCACAACTTTCGTTCGACATCAGCTTGTTTCGGGATGGCCACCCAAGCAAGCTCCGATGTTGAGCAGTTGCTTCGCCGTAGAGCGAACTTGCGCAGACGTTTTGTCCGCGTACACACTCGCCTTGCGCGCGAGTTTATCGCTGAGTCAAGTTCCAATACTCAGTATTTGGCAGCCGATTGGGGGGAGGCCCAGTCGCTATCACTACAACTTGAGGAAGTTGTAGCGGCCCTTCGGACAGCATACGAAGAAATGGACTCTGCTGAAGACGAACTGGACGAGCTTGACAGCTGGGAGTCAGAATTTGACGACTTATGTGGTATCTTGAGAAAGGTGAGGAGCTCCATCATGCGTACGGCTCCTGAGGCCATGGCGAACTTTCCTGACCCGGTTGAGGCTACCGTTTCACGTCTCTCTCGTTTGCCTGCCCATTCTTCTTCATTGCATTCAGTTTCTGCGGCAACCATTACTGACAGTCACACATGTACCGGTACATTAGCATCAGCACCAGCGTCACAATCACTTCGTAGCAGTGCACACACACGCACCCCTGCATCTCATCATTTGGATACATGTAGCGGGAGCTTGTCACCGTCACGCACCGACTGTCACACCATGCCACCAGTTCCTAACTTCTACACACCGCAGCTCCAGCCTGGGACTACCAGTACAGCTGCCTGCAGTGAACTGCCCTTTGCTCTACACAGTGTGACAGCAGCTCCAGTGTCTACCCATAGTATTCTGTCAGCTCTGAAACCACCACAGCAAAGCTCTGTCCAGCAGAAGTCTAGTTCTAGTGCCAGCAGAGTAGAATAGACCCTTTGCACAATAAGCGAGAGGGGTCGAGACGGGGCATGCTGTGCACGCGCTGTACACTAGCACTTGGCATGCAACCAGCATGCATGGTTTGCTGCAGGACGTGATCAAGTTTCCTGTGACAGGCTGTGTTTTCACGGTCCCGACGCGATGTTCATGTAAGTACTCCCGATCCCCAGCCTTTTTTCATTAATTTTGAAGTTTTTTTAGTTTTGAAGGAAGAAGTTTCGAAGTGCTTTCCAAGGACCACTGTTGGGTTCTTGTTTGCAGCAACCGTCATCCCTAACGTTAGTCTAAGGAACCCACTCGTCTTTCCATGCGTTCCCTGGTGATGCTGGCATTCCACACTCTGGAATCCTGGCTATCTGGCGAGAAGAGGGCCGCAGTGCTGCGATATCGTTCACAGTGTTGTGCTCGGAACGATTTTCATCCTTGTTTTTGCTAAGATAATGAACGCCCTGCCAAGAGACTCTGGAGCTTGAGAAAAAGGCATGACCCATCCCTGTCTTCGCTATTGGAAGATTGACTGCTTGCTGGCGCTGCTCGAGCTGCTGATGTTGAAGTGGAGAGAGACGCAGCCTCATCGCTCAGGTGTGCGGAGAAAGTCATCTGAGTTCGAGCTGTGGCTGTGTGCACGACATGACCGACTTTCACATTACGCACATAGCCACCAAAGTAAAACTCATGGACACTATCCACGGGCTTGTTCACTAGTATTACTCCATCAGCTCCCTCTTCACTGTCGTCGGCGACTTGCCCCTGCGTTGGAGACGAGCAAGGATGGTGTGGCACTCACTCTGGGAAACAGAGGTTCATCACTCATCCACTGGGAGTCGGACGCATGAAACGTTGGGCATGATGAAGGTACACTCGAGGAAGTGGTGCCCTTCTTATTTCTAGGAGCATCAGGGTTCTGCATAGAGAAGTGTTCTCTACATCGACAGAGGAGAGAAGGTAGAGAAAAGAAAAATAGTTCAATCTACAGTAATCCGAAATATCCACTGAATGCGGAACACTTACCGCTCCAACGACTCCTTCTTTTTCCAGACAGATACGCACCCTCATTCAGCAGAAAACTGTTCAGTTCCTTCACAGACCATTCTTTATTTGACAGTTCGTCCACGGGTTCCACAGCCATCGATGGCAAACCACTCGACACTCTCTCCTCCATCTCCAAAATGGAAAAATACAGTGTTCCATCATGCTCAGCAACTGATACTCTGCACAAAAATCGAAGAGGATGCCCCGTCTCGGATCACGTGACCGTTATTGTGCAAAGGGTCTATTTACTCCTTTGCCATCCCACACTCCTATGTCAGCACATACTAGTACTGTTATGTTGGATGACAGCAGTGATGATTATTCCTCTGATGAGCTAAGCATGGCTTCACTCAGCCTTAGTTCATTCTCGCCAGTCGCTAGTCCGATGCCACGTGCTGTTGATGCTGCAGCTCCGTCTAGTATTGCAACCATGACCACCATGGTCGCTGAAGCTGCCAGGCAAGCTGCTATTGCTGCGGTTCAAACCGTTCAGCCGACCACGATGGCTCAGTCACCCATGCAGCCAGGGTCAACTACGTATACCCAGGTGAACCTCCCGAAATTGTCTTTGCCTAGCTTCAGTGGCGACATTCTGGACTGGCCCGTCTTTTGGGATATGTATGTCGCATCTGTTGACTCGCAGCAGCTCCCGAACGTCACCAAATTCACATATCTCAAGTCATCATTAAAAGGGTCTGCTTGCCGTCTAATTGCTGGAATAGCTGTTACTGACCAGAACTATCCCGTGGCCCTGAAAACGCTTCAGGATGAGTTCGGCAGAGCTGACGTCATCATCACCAAGTTGTACCACAAGTTGCAACATATGCCGGCGTCCACATCCAGTCATAGCGACATCAAGGCGAAGTGTGAGATGATTGAGAATGTGTGCCTCCAGCTGGAAGCTCAAGGAGAGGTTCTGGCCACTCAGCGGCTGGTCGCTCAACAAATACTGTCGAAGTTTCCTATTAGTGTCACAACCAAGTTGGAAGAATGGCGACCCCTATCGGAGGCGGCTCAAGCATGGAGTGTATCAGAGCTCCGCCGGGCTTTGAAGAGGTATGTCAGCTTACATGACAGGGCCTACCAGCGGTCTGCCACATCTTCTACCTCTCGCAGTGACAGCAGCGTCCCGGCCGCGCCAGCGCCTGGTCCTGTATCTGGGAGCGCTCTTCCTGTGGCGACAGCACAACAGCATCGAGTACCCACAGCTTCTGGACAACAGTCTCGCAGGCCATGTGTCTTCTGTGGTGCTACACACAGACACGACTCGTGTCAGAAGTTCGCTACTCCAGAGGCCCGTAAGAATCGCTTGTTGGAGTTACGTCTCTGTTTTCGTTGCTTGGGCTCAGGTCATACCAGTTCGGTCTGCACCCGGCAACGACAATGTCGGCATTGCCTCCGGTCGAATCACCATAACACAGCAATCTGCTCTGCTGGACGTCAGACGGCACGGTATGGTGATTCCCAGCAGAGCCGTACTGGGAATCCTCAACAACAGCAATCTGCTACTACTTCTAGTGGCTCCTCATCATCTCTGCGGGTGTCCTCTAATGTAGCTGCTACTCAGCAGCTCCCTGGTCCAACAGTCCCAGGAAGCCAGACTCGCTTGATGACTGCCAGGACATCTATCCACTCTGGTTCAGGTGAATCTCAACAAGTTACTGTCCTTCTGGACAGCGGTTCTCAGTCTACATTCCTCAGTGTAGACGCAGCCACACGACTAGGCTTGCCCGCAGGTCGGCAAGAGTGCCTAGTTGTCTCCACATTCGCCTCATCGCGGCCTGTACAGCTCAACACAACAACGGTCGAGTTCGATCTTGAACTCCATGATGGCTCTCGTCTGACCATGGAAGCTAACACCATGCAGAAGATTACCGATCCAATTCGACACTGTCGGCTCTCAGATGAAGATTACGCCACTATATTGGCGGTTGCCGGTGATGCTCTCGCGGAGCCCATCTCTTCTGAATCGTCAACGTGTAAGATTGACCTGCTGATTGGAGCTGCCCATTTCTGGGAACTAATCAACGGGCCTTCCGTTTCTCTACCATCTGGCCTTCATGTCATACCGTCCCGTCTTGGATACCTCGTTGCTGGGAAGTCGACCGTGGAGACGGACCACTCCGAGTCTGCCAGTAGTGTACTTCTGTGCTCCACACTTACCTCTGCTCGCCAGCATCCGTCGTCTTTGGGTAACTATGTTGCTCCATCGTCCATGATGCCGTATCCTGATCTTTCTCGGATGTGGTCTCTTGACACCATAGGTATCACGGATTCTCCTCATGTCACCTCTGACGAGCTCGCTCAACGTCACTTTGACACTCATGTCAGGTATGAGGGCCAGCGATATGAGATCGCGTGGCCGTGGAAAGCAGAGCCTCCTGAAGTGTCTGACAACTTTGGTCTCGCCTTAGGTCGGTTAACGTCTCTGGCCAAGCGACTGGCTTCCGACAATGACCTTTTGGCACAGTACAACAAGATCATCCAGTCTCAAGTCACAGCTGGTATCATTGAGCTTGTTCCGAAATCCTCTCTCCGTACGGCAAATGCCACACACTATTTGCCTCATCAGCCCGTCATCACACCGTCGAAGGCCACAACGAAGTTGCGTATCGTCTATGATGCCTCTGCAAAATCCTCGAAACGGTCCAAGAGCCTCAACGAGTGTATGCATCGCGGTCCAATCAATCTACCCAGCCTATGTGGCATGCTGCTTCGTTTCCGCTGCCACCCTATTGTCCTATTGGCTGACATTGAGAAGGCCTTTCTGCAGCTAAGCATCACGCAGTCTGATCGAGATGTCACACGGTTCCTTTGGTTTCAGGATCCTTCAAACCCGGCTCCTACCAAGGACAACCTGAGCGTTTATCGGTTTCGACGTATGCCGTTTGGAGTGATTTCGAGCCCGTTCCTGCTCGAAGCTACCGTACGCCATCATCTCAGCACGCAAGGCACGCCGCTCGCCACAGCTATTTCCGACAACATTTATGTCGACAATATCATCCTCGGCATGGATCTGGAGAGCGCCGCTATCGCTGCCTACACTGCCGCCAAGGACATCTTCAAGTCAGCCTCAATGAACTTGCGTGAGTTCACCACCAACAGTGATGCTGTTCGTTCTGCTATACCGGAGCAAGACCGTGTAACGTCTCGCTACGTGAAAGTACTTGGTCTCAAGTGGGACACGGAAAATGACACCGTTTCCATACCCGGCTGTACCAAACTCACCAAGACGGAGTGCAGCATCACTAAACGCGCAGTCCTTCACGCCGTCTCAGCAGTGTACGACCCCTTGGGTCTCGTGACGCCCGTCCTCCTTCCAGCTCGGATATTCTTGCAACGGCTGTGGGGTCTGTCGGTCACGTGGGATGATGCGCTACCTCCCGATGTTCAAGAAGAGTGGCTTGGTCTAGTGCAACAGATGGATGGGTTATCCGACATGGCTATTCCAAGGTATCACCGGTACCATGATGGCGACATGCAGCTACATATCTTCACGGATGCGTCTCAACATGCGTACGCTGCAGCAGCTTACCTCCGCATTCAGCGCAACTCCAACGTCCATACTGTACTGGTGTACAGTAAGATGCGTCTGTCACCATCTTCCTTCAACAAAGGCAAGTGTGCCAAGGACAAGTCACTCACCATCCCACGTCTGGAGCTCCTTGGTGTCCTCATCGGTGCTCGCATGGCTGCATTCATCCGTCAACATCTGCAGCTCTCGCTCAGCTCACAAGTTCTATGGTGTGACTCGAAGTGTGTCTTGCACTGGCTCCAGTCAACAAAGGACTTGTCAACCTTTGTCGACAATCGCATCCAGGAAATCCGGCAGATTCCCAACCTCGACTATCGATATGTGCCATCAAGCTTCAACCCAGCTGATGTTGCAACACGCGGCCAGAGTACTGCAGATCTCTCCAGCAACACACTCTGGTGGCAGGGTCCTGCTTGGCTTCGACTTGACGTGGCGGAGTGGCCAGGAGATCAGCACTTGCTAGTCACACCTGACATCCTACAGCAGGTTGCAGCTGAAGAGCGTGGTTCAAAAGTCGTTCATGCTGCCACTCTCCTCAACACCAACAGCTTGGATGTCACTACATCAGATCTGGTCGCATGGTCAACATGCCTTGTTCAGCTACTTGACCGGTCATCTTCTTTGGAGCGTCTGATTCGTGTTATCTTCTACTGCTGCCGATTTCTTCACCAGTATCTATGGTCCCGCTTATCCTCTGGCTATCGTTCCACTATTCACACCAGCCATCCCCTCTTGTTTGCGTTGATGCAAGCAATTGCCTCCTCCGCACACCTCAACGCTGGTATTCGTCGTCTCATCCTCACTCTGGTCACTCGTGTATCACAATACCAGTGCTTTGGTGACGTCTTCAACAGCTTTGTTACCAATCGCAAATGTGTCATCCGCAGTCAGCTTGGCATTACGGTTGATCAATTCGGCGTCTTGCGCTGTCACGGACGCACTCCTAAGGCTGACTATACTGTCTCTCCCTTTGCTCAGCCCCTGCTGCCGAATACTCATCGCCTGACGCAGCTCATCATAACGGACCTCCACTGTCGACTGCTCCACGCTGGAGTATCCCACACGTTGGCTCAACTCCGTCTGAATTTCTGGGTGCCCCAGGGCCGCCGTGCGGTTAGTTCTATCATTCGACGTTGTACCACGTGCCGAAAGCACGAGGGACCTCCGTACAAGCTGCCAGTTCCGCCGCCACTGCCAAAGGAACGCGTGACACCAGCAGCCCGACCGTTCGAGTACGTGGGTCTTGACTATTTCGGGCCCATCCTCGTCAAGCAGTCTGAAGGTAAAACAGCTGTGAAGGTCTGGGTCTGCCTCCTGACATGTTTGTCGGTACGTGCTGTGCACCTGGAATGGGTGAGCAACATGTCCACCATTCAGTTCATCAGCTGTTTTCGACGATTTATTGCGCGACGTGGTGTCCCCAGACTTCTCTACTCTGACAATGCTTCACAGTTTAAGTCTGCAAGCACCGCACTCGATGAATTCTGGCAATCAGCTGCAGAGGATACCGACGTTTTCAACTTCCTCAACAGTCACGGTATATGCTGGAAGTTCGCCACTGCCTTCGCGCCATGGCAAGGTGGTGTGTATGAAAGGATGGTTGGGCTGGTAAAGCGTTGTCTGCGAAAGGCATTAGGACGCCAGCGCATTTACCTCGATCAACTTGTGACACTCCTGGCTGAAGCCGAAGCTGCCGTGAACAGCAGACCACTGACCTCAGTCACAGCTGACTACGAGGGCAAGGTCAATGTTTTGACCCCAGCTCATTTCTTAGTCGGTGAGTGCCCCACTGCGATACCTCTATCAACATCCCTGGATGAACCTGATTTCGTCCCAGACTCTGCCAATCCCTCCACCCGTCTTCTTCAAGAATGGGGACGACAGCAACGTCAAAGCGAAGTGTTCTGGCAGATGTGGAAGAAGGAATATCTGCAAGTCCTTCAAGAGAGAATATCCTGTGCAGACAAACGAGCGTCTGCAAGCCATCAACAGACAGCGTCACATCCCCAGTTGGGTGAGGTAGTGCTCGTCGAAGAGGAATCTACCCCACGTTGTCTATGGAAGCTGGGTCGTATCGCGGAGATCATCTGTAGTCCCACGGATGGACAGATTCGAACAGCCCAAGTCATCATGTCAACCGGCAACACCGTCAAGCGCCCATTGTCCCGTCTATATTCCCTGGAGTGTAGGCACGTTATTCCAGTTGATGCTTCCACTCCAGGTCAGCAGCCTGTGTCTTCTGATGTTACTGATCCGGCTCCAGTGGATGATGCCCCTCCGCTACCTGTTGTGACTTCAAAGCGTCCTCCTCGAGCGTCGGCCGACGCAGCACGTGAGAAGATCGCCAAGTGGGTAACATCAAGCTATGTGTGCCTTACATCATGATGAGACTGCTTTTACGGTTCGCGTATGTATGACTCTCCCTCTATTTACAATTACTCCGGCGGGAGTATAAATCCCCTACAATTCTCCGAATACATCTACGTACGTGCATTTCTCTTCTGTGTAATGAGGTTTCATGTACTTTGAAGTAGTTCTTCGCTTGTCATACTAGTGCATTTCGACTGTAGCAGTACTTCTTAGAATCTAGATACTTTTGTAAACACCATCACTACATCTCAGTGTAATCCACCCAGTCTTCATTATCTCATGAGGTGTACTACTTTCTTTCTTGTCGGAGTGTCGCGGATTCAATCATCCCACGAATATAAAATGATGTATTAGTATGGTTGTGCATGTCATGTCAATGCACTGCTGCCTCATGAATTTCTTCGTACTCATGATGCTACTCCTGCGCTTCATACTTTGATCTGTACCTTCGTTTTTTGGCTGTATTCAAATTAGTTTTGGTGTTCTTGTTTGTAAGAAAGTTCGTATTCCAACCAACTCACCCCTCTAGCTTTTGTAGCAATCAGACGTTTGGGGACAAGGCCTCAAACGTTTTGACACAGGATGTAGTTCTACTCGTTACAGTGTTTCTGTAGCCGTGGCTGTTTCTACGCTGGAAAGAATCACTGGCCATGGCTAATGCTAAACAAAGGCAGTTCCTACGCTGCCTGATTTTTTGTGAAAACTTTGTTGAAGCGGTACGATGTGGCCACGAAGAACAAATATATTACTGACGAAGAAGGGTGAGAAAAGCAGGCTGAAGTCAGTGAAGACATCGATGTCGAACGTAGTGATACTAGTACTGGCACTGGAATTTAGCATGGACTACCTGTGGAGCGTGAAGTGGCTGCCCACTCGCTGGTAAGTGGACCCACTTGCAGCTCCAGTCGCACGAGTGCCGTTTGAAACTGTTTCTGTGGATCCTAGAGTATCCTGAGCTCAGTGGACGACGCATCTCAGAGCTGCTGAACTTGGGCTACTGTCCCTGTAGGAATGAGGTTCGTGTCAACCACTGTACTGCACTGATGGTGTAAGGAAAACGCTGGCCAGAGCAGAAGCTTGTGTTCTGAACCAGGGACGAACTTCTAAATCCTGCTTTTGTAAAAATGGGGATGCCACAACTAAGATGTGCACACTCAGGTGTGTATTGGGTAAATGCCTGTGGTTGATTATTTTGAATCCTTTTCTATGCGCAAGTACATGCGTTTGTGTGTGTGTGTGGGTACGCGCGCATGTGTGTGTGTGTGTACTCGCGCGAGTGTGTGTGTGTACGCGCGCGCGCGAGTGTGTGTGTGCACGCGCGCGCATGCGCGTGTGTGTGTGCAAGCTGTTGAAAGGTGTAATCCGAGCACAAGTTGCTATGTCTAACGTAGTTTGTTCGCTATCCTCGCTTCAGCGTTGGGCAGGTGTACGAGTGTGTGTGTGTACGCACGTGTGTGTGTGTGCGCGCGTGCTCGTGCCCGCATGTGTGGGTTCGCACGCAATGTTGATCTGGGTTATGCACATGTCCCCACGAGTGCACTGTGTGCATCTGCATGCAAATGTCTGTGTACATGTATGTGTGTATGCACGTGCATGTGTGCGCGCGTGTGCAAAGCTAGGTGTGGAAGGGGGGAGGGGGGGGCTCACGGTGCCGGTTCTGTATGCCTCTCTGGTGTCCGCAAGGACAGTGTGGTAATGGCTTTACAGTACAGGAGTTGCATGTGAATGCACATTTGTGAACCGCATTTGAGACACAAAAAGAATTGCCGAGAGAGCATGACAGTACACTACATGTATATCGTATATGTGCACGCCAGCGTGTGTAGATGCATATTGCCCTTCATGCGATGTTTTTCTGGAGTCTGCTGCTATCAACGCAAGTGACAACCAGCAAATGCACGCCCAGTGCAGTGGCTGGTCTTCAGGCTTTTATTTACACTAAGTCCTACTATGGACTAGTAGTGTTACAATGATGCGTGCATGAGAGTGCGTGCATGTGGGTGGGTGTTTATGTGCGTGCGCACGCGTGTGAGTGTTTAGTGTGCCTTATTTTGAATGCCTGCTTTCACATTATTCATGTGCCAGTTTCATGGTCGAGGTTGTTATGAAACCTCGCTGCCTTACATGTACATGTACACTACTCGTATATCAATGTGCTAGGACTGAAGGCAACATGACATACATGTACATGTAATGATACATGTACCTTTCCAAGCACAGACTGTCGTCCAAAGGAGGTTGCAGCATGAAAATAACTTCTTCTAAAATAATATTACCATACTACCATGTCATTGGTAGTGATATTTAGTCAAGAAGGCAAGAATGGTCAGATTTTCTAAAAATGCTATTTTCAGAATTGGCCTAAAAATACCATATGTTGAACCTATATTGTTTGGTAGGGGCCTAAAGTGCCTGGTGACACCATCAAAACTGTCCATTATCGGTTTCCTTGGGGCTCAAGGATCACAGAAAGCCACAAAAATCAATATGTCCATGGACAAAATGTTGCAGGCTGAACCATTTCACAATTCAGCACCCGATGGAAATTTCGGTACCCGTAATTTCGAAAAAGTGGCTCGCCAAGGGCAAAACCAAGACGCAGTCTATCTTGTGTAGCCAAGATACCTCCAAATGTGGTTCTTAAACATATGATGAAGAAAATGCTCAGTATCCTCCTTCCAGGAGGCTTCTTTGGGTCAAAAACCAAATTTTTTTACCATTTTTTTTACCGAAAATCAAGAAATTGTACACTCACTAAATACACCAGAATACCTCTTATATGCCTGGTGACCCTACCTAAAAACTATACCAAATTGAAGAAGAGACATCACTCCACCATTCTATGCATAAAAAACAGGGTGTCCATGGACCTTTTATTTTTACTTCTTTAGGTGGGAGCCTCCTTAAGGAAAGGCCAGCAGAAAAACAATTTGATGCATATAGAAAATCTGGCAACACTAGGCACTTTACAAAGGTTTCTCGGCAAGTCAGCGGAATATTGTGTCGATTTCGGAACAGAATACCAATTTTACTGGCAAGTTTGGTGACCATAGAATCAACTTGAGTCCTCCAAGAAAGATCCTGATCCAAATGTATTCCAAGATACTTTGCACATGTCACTTGCTTTAGCTGCACTCCATGACAAGGGACTGCAAATAATTGGTGGTCAGTAATATGTGGCGTAGACAGGAAGAGCACTTGTGTCTTCCGGGCATTTAGAATTAAATTGCGGTTTGACAGCCAGGTACTAATGGCTGAGACAGCTGCAGACAGGGAGTTGCTAAGCGCAATCTTCTGCGTACCGCAAACATACAATAGAATATCGTCAGCAAATTGAATAACTTTCACACAAAACTCGGAGACAATGGACTTTTCTCTTCGATTTACATACTTGGATTGTCCCGAAAGACCGATATTTGACTGAAATACGACGGTTTGTAGCTTGGTTGTCCAGACGCACCAGTGGGTAAACTCGCCAACTTTCAAGTGCACTTTTCTGCACTGTACAGTGTACAGTTTTTGCGATAAGGTCTGTTTTCTCATCTGACGGCTAAATATTATATTTTATTTTTAAGTCTTAATTTATTATAATTTTATTATAATTTTATTATTATTTTAAGATGATGTCACACACATGCATGCATACACGCACACACAAACCGGCTGCCGACAACTACCATGCCAGTGACTAGAATGCAGTCTCCTAGGCACGCGCACACGTGCACACACAAAAACACGGACCAGCTGCCGAATCCGACTACCGTATTTCCACAAATAGTAGGCCGGTCTACTATTTTTTCAACCTCGTCCTAACCCGGCCTTATAATCGAGAACGGTCTTGTATTCGAGGACGGTCTTGAACCCAGTTTGCCCCCGGTCTTCTATTTGTCGCCACACAGATTTACCCCCGTTCTTCCATTTTCTTCTACACTGTTTTAGCACGGTCTTCTATTTTTCCACAGTTTGAGCACAGTCTTCTATTTTTCCACAGTTTGAGCACGGTCTTCTATTTTTAACACAAGAACAAAGACTCATTAAAGTAGGCCCGGTCTTCTAATCGGAGACAGTCTTTTATTTTTCCAATCGCCCCCTGCGCCGGCCTTGTATACGAGGAAGGCGTTGTATACGAGGATGGCCTTTTATTTTGCGGAAATACGGTATGCAGTCTCCTAGGCACGCGCACGTGCACACACAAACACACGAACCAGCTGCCGAATCCGACTACAGTCAACTTCGCTAATGACGACTGCGGATATAACGACAATTCGCGAATAACGACAGAATTTCCATGCCCAGAGCAAAGTCCCATACCACTGTAATACATGTAATGAGACTTAAGGTATAAAGACACTTCGCGAATAAGGACACCTTTTTGATGCCCCGCCGAGTG